ATAAAAATAAAATTCTTTAACAATTCCATTACAAATCTTTTTTACATTTATTATTACAATAATAAGACTGATTGGAACACATTAAATTCCAAAAAAAAAAAAATTATTGGTTTCAGTCAGTCTTGAGTGGACAACATTTTTTGAAATATTTTCAAAAAAATTTGAACAAATCAACAAAACCCAATATAAGCAAAAAATAAAAGTCCAATATCTTTTGTTTGATTTTGTCTATTCTAAATTTTTTTGAAATTTTTTGAGTTTTTTTTTTTTTTTTGTCCAAGTAAAATCTAAGGATCCTCAAAAATATTTTACAAAAATCATTTTCAAGTTGTGTCCAGTCGATCCGCCAGCTAATAGAATCAATTGACCAGCTGATTAACATGCATGACGTAGAAGTTAGAAATAATCGATCCCCGAATCACAACTTTAAAATAATTCTCATGAACTTTTATATTTTTTTTTTTTATTTGGGTATACATAGCATTGTTTGTAGTATTTATTATATCAACTTTATGATTGTGATTATATGTTTTCTAATCGTATTTTTCTAACAGGTCCCACAAAGTCTTAAGAATTATCCGGCCGCCACGACCACCGGTGCAACCACCAAAAGATACATCCGTACTTCCACGAATACGAGAGTTCAACTGGGGAACCCAACACATCTCTACATTAAGCGAAAGAGTTTCTTTGACAAAGTAACCGAGACGCCGAAACCGGGAACTACAGAGGTGTGGGAAGTGATCAATCTGACTCAAGACAACCACCCTTTGCACATCCACTTGGCAGAGTTTCAGGCGATTAAGAATTCAACAGATCGTCGACCTTGGCCAGGTTTACGTCGTGCATGAACATCAAGAAATGCCATTGCTTGCAACGTGACTAGCCATGTCACCGGAAAGTTGCACCGTGTGCCAGATTACGAGAAGACTGGAAGAATGTGGTGAAGATTGAACCGGGATACCAAACTACGGTGGTGGTTAAGTTAACCTCATTGACAATGATGCACCTTATCCTTTTGATGCTACTGCACACCTGGTTATGTCTCACCATTGCCATGTAAGTGTTAGCCGAACCTAGAATATCTAATCTCGTTTTCTGTCTCATTTTTTTTTTTTTAAATTCAACAATTTGAGTCACAAAATAGTTATTAAGTGTGTCCCACTTCAAAGCACATACAATACTCCCGAGCCCATTCTAGTGAATAATTTCATAAAAAAACTTTACATAATTCATTTCTATACATTTATTTTAAACATTAGACACAATACAATAGATCTTACATTTATATATTAACATTGATGAGAAAATTTTAAAAAAAATTAATTTATAAATATATATATA